ACAGCCTTCTGACTTGAAATCCACACAGCTTTTTGGTGGTTATTTTCTCATTATCTTAGTTAACCAATATTGAGTATTTAATGTATGGCAAGCAGGAGAGCAGAAGGTAGAGGTGTAGCTGTGAGGTTCTCAGCACTATCCAAGTCTTCAGGATGCTTCCGGTGGACCATGGAAGGTTAAGCACAAAAGAGCTCAGCCCAGCACCTGCCAGTATCATTGGAGCTCAGAAATGCACAAGATATGAGAGAAAAGAGAGGCTTCCTTCCACCCAGGGAATCTGCGAGAGTGTTTCCAGAGAGATCCCATTCAACACGGGGATAAAGGCCAAAGGGTGGCCTCTCCATATTATCCTGGTCTTTTCTCATTCTTTGACTTCTCTTCACTAAAATAGGAGGTCCATTATTAAGACCTTCTGCTTGCCTTGGTATTGAAGGTAGGAGAGTTTACCTTTTTTTTCACCCATCCGCCATTTAAGCAGAGGTATGTGTTACTTGTACAAATGTGTTCCTTCATACTGGGAACCTTTCTGCTGCTTATTTGAAGGCAGAGCCTAGAGTGACCAGCCAAAAGATGAGTTCACAGATGGTAGCGGCAATGGCACATTGTCTGAGATTGGCTGTTCTAGGGAAAGGGTGACGTTTCCAATAGTAGGAACATTTGGTAGCCTCATCATTGACCCAGTGCAGTCTTTAAAGAATCCATTCCCGTGATGGACCACTGCTTGCTCTTTGTAAAGCAAGTGTGTGTTGAAGGAGTTAAGATTTAGGTGAAAGACTCTCAGTGTTGCTGCACATCCTGCCAAAGTTAGTGTTCAGAGTCTGTATCAAAGAGGGCAAGAGCTTTCACATTAAGAGACGCGAAAGGGAGTGACCATTACCCACATGCTCACTCTCAGGGGGTGAGCATAAAGCCTTTAGAGGTCTTTAGTTTCATAATAATGACTTTAAGGGGTGGTTTTATTTCTGTCCTACTTCTAGTGAGAGAACATGACAAGCCTATACCAGCGAGTAAATCATTTCATTCCAGGCTGTGTAATAATTCATGTGAAATAAATGTCCTAAACTATCAATAAAACACAAGGATATCATATTGCATAACTCCATGAGACAAGTAAATAGTAGTTAATAAAGTTGAACCGTCTAGAAACATCACTGTTTTTCCTCATGTAGAGTTTTCTCTGTCCTTGAAAGTGAACGTGACTGTCATATGTATCCTCAGAGTCTAGCAACTCTGGTCTCATGAGCAACTTTTCCTTAAAGTGAATCACTGGAAACCAAAGCAACAAGCAAGTAAGCTCTTTCCCTCATTCAAATATTTAAAAAGTGAAACAGTGTTACGGTTTAGATCTCAAATGTCCTGCCAAAGTCTCATGTGTTCAGAGGTGGGGCTTTCGGAAGGTGATTGCATCATGATGGCCCTTACCTCATAAATGAATTGATCCATTGATCCATTTCTAATTTCACAAGCTGGAGGTGGAGCTTAGTAGGAGGAATTGGGTCACAGGGACATAATTTTGGGAACTATATATTGTTCCTGGCTCCTTCCTCTCTAGCTCCCTCCATTTCCTGGCCTCCTAGAGACGAGCAGCTTTACTCTACCATACCTTTCTGCCATGATGTTTCCACCTCATCACAGGCTTGAAATCAAAGGAACCAGCCAAACATGGATGGGAGCTTCTTTAAATCATGAGACAAAATAAACTTTTCCTCCTTGAAGTTGTTTATGTAAAGTGACACAAAGGTAGCTAACATTCAGTGTTAATCACTTTACAAAGTTTGAGAATCTAAGTTAACAGCAAGAGTGCCAGGTCAACTAAGATGAGGCTTTCCCTAGGACACAGGAGGAGGGAGGTTTCTTTATGATTCCTAAAGTTGTGTGTGTGAAGGACATACCTCCAGACTTGTCATCACAGAGCTTCTCATATTTACCATTTTATTTTTAAAAAGATCAACTATTTTACATTTCACTTATATAATGTTTCATTGTTTATGTATTCCATAGAGGTGCCCTGATTTTTAAAGAAAATAAAAGCTTATTCTTCTCAGAATATTTCACATTCAGAGAGTTAAGATGCAGTAACGTGGATTTGATGATTGGATAAACCAGGCTTATCTGATCTCCTAAGAAAAGATGCTACTCTCGGGACTAAGAGGAAAGTAGTTGGTAGGGAGCTCTTTCTTGGTTCCAAGCATTTGATCTCTCAGGGCAGCTTCTTCTTTTGCTGCAATGGGATTATACTCAGTAGGGTGTAGCTTTTGCCCTTTTCTGCTTCAAGGGATGGTCAGTGGAGTCTAGAGGGACCTTTGGCTATCATTACTGAAAGGAGACACATTACTGACCTCTAGTGGGTGGAGGCCAGCAATGCTGCTCAGCTTCCTAGAGTGCACAGGGCAGCTGCCCCTACAATGGGCCATCCATCCCAAATGCCAGTAATGCAGAAGTTAGAATCTTGTTTTCATGCAATCCAAAGCCTGAAATTAACTCATTACCCCAGCCGTCTAATCGGTACATATGTACTCCTTCACAGAGGCTCAATTAAACAATTTAGTGAATGTTTGTTTACTCACTGGGCCATGGGTGGGGGGACAGCTACAGAAGGAAATACAGCCTTAGCATGGAGGGGCTATAAATACCGAATGTGGAAGCAAAGGAACCATTTGTGAAGCAAAAAGTTCTGCTTTAAAAATAGAATGGACAGTGGCTGTGGGGCCTTTCGGACAGACGGCCTTCACTGTACTTTTGGTAAGAAACGATAGGAGCAAGAGGCAGGCTGCAAAGCCTTGGAAAATGGCAATGTCCTTCAGTAGCCAGGAAATCTGTTGGAAGGAATTTGTCTGAAAACCTCTTTCCTGAGGGTCTGTAGCAGCACTGCCCTGTCTGCCTCGATGTCCTGAATGGATCCAAAACGTTGGCCTTTCATGATCATTTTGACTTTGAGGAAGAGCCGGAAGGCACATGGCCCCAGATCCAGTGAAAAATGTGGATTAGAACTCACTTTTTTTTGGTTTGGTTTGGTTTGGTTTGGTTTTTTGTTACTGGGGATCAAACTCAGGCCCTTGCGCTTGCAAGGCAGGTGATGGAACCATTGAGCTAAATCCCCAGCACAGAACACACTTATAATCGCTTCTCGGCCTTTTGGCTAAGATCAAGTGCAGAACACATTTATATTTTTAGGAGCCTACTTTTCTGTTGCATGACACTTCACACCAGCACTTGCCATATTTTTTACCACACTTGGTCAAGACACTTAGGAAAGAGGACTTGCAGAACTGCTTCAGAAAGTGCCAAGAATGAATTCATGAGTGTGTTGGAAGTGATGGGAATGATTTTGAGATGGATTCGTGGCAGTGTATCTTTTACTGTGATAATTTTTTTTTAATTTAACCATACACCCTGAGTTTTGATCAGCCGTTGTATGCATAGCTTCCAAAGAAGCAGGTGGCTGGGAAAGGCCCCTCACTGTGTGTTCTGCTGCAGCACCATGTCATGTTCGGAGGCATCTGCAGGGTAAACCGTCATGGAGTGGCTGCAAAATGTGATCCTGGGGCCCACCTATCAGAGTCCATCCCATCCAGGTTGCCAGCTCTCTTCTCTCTCTGTTCCCAGTGCCACTGGTTGTGCAGATGTCTTCTCTGGCTTCCCCAGTGCCCATCTGTCAAAGGGAGAGTGAGACAGCTCTTTGAGTGTGGCCTGTGGACCATTCAGCCCACCCACCCACGAATGGTGATGGGGAGGCCGAGCAGGCTCTGCTTTCCCTCACTGCTGTGTTGCAAATCATCCCCTTGCTTGATGAATATTCATTAGCAATGTCATGGTGGAGACTGGCCGAGAATCCCCGAGATCCCAGGCCCCTGACTGTCCCAGTGACGAGAAGGTTGTGGAAGAATCAGATAGAGATCGAAAACGTAGGGGCAAAGTTTGTTCTTTTATTCAGCAAGCATGCAAGAGAACAGCTGCCTTCTCTCAGAGAGACAGGCTGGGGTCCCTGAAACAGAGCCACCATTGAAGGCTCAAGGGATGGATTTTATAGTAGTTGGGGGCCTATCCTGTCTCTGCGCTGAGGGTGCCCATACTTGATTAGTCCATTGGCTCGTTACTAGGGAAGATGGGGAAGGGTCTTTGGGGGCTTTTCACACTTGTGGGTCAGGTTTCCTTTTTTCCTGTTAACTTAGGGTTAGCGTAAAGAGGAAGTGCAACTGCAGGCTGCCAGTGCTTCACAGGTGGTTAAGCCTGTTCTGCCACCTGTCTAAACTCCTTGGGGGGGCGGATGCCTCATCTTTCCCTACCTACAGACATCTATCCCTACTGCAATGTCTGTGGGCCTCCGAGAGAGGTGGTCAGGTCTGTGTTCTCAAGCCACCCTGCTCCCCGCAAAGCCCTCCATCCTGTAACCCTTACAAGGAATGAAGTGCCCCTGGGCGAGTGTGAATTGAGAAGCTAGACATGATGATGCGTGATTCTGTCCTTGGCACCCTGGCCACACACACAGCTGCCCGTGACTGATAACCCGTGCACTCTAAGTTTGGAAAAGTGTACACACTTCCCTTTTTAAAGCCTTCTAAAGCCAACCTCAGAGTTGACTTTAGAAAGAGTATGACACTGCAAATTGATTCTTCACAAAGGACCTGTCTTTCCAGGGCTCCAAGAGCAAACTTTTAGCTCAAGAAGGAGCCTACCTTTAACAAAGGGCTGATGGAAGTGATAGCATTTTCATTTTTCTAAATAGATCCTCCGTTCTCATAGAGGTTGGGGCAGAGAGGTCATGGTGAACCGCTGAGAGGGAATCGTATGTTTTGGAAACAAACGCCCAGGAAGTGAAGGATAATGCCTTCTTATCCTTGCCATTTCTTAGACCTAAGTGTCTTTTGACCCCACTCTCTGTGGAGGAGGTGTGATGTAAGAGTGGCCTCTTCTCAAGTTTGTGCAAGAGGGAGGAGACTCAAGAGAAGGAGGGGAGCAGCCAGCACCTTGAAGTCCCTTTTATCTCCTTCCCTCTGCAGGAAGATGAAGGGTGGTCTTCTCCTGCTAGTGCTCCTGTGGGAAGCCAAGAGCCAGCCAGCATCGAGACCAAACATTGTCCTATTGATGGCTGATGACCTGGGCGTGGGGGACCCAGGGTGCTACGGGAACAAGACTCTCAGGTATGGAAGTGCAGCTGCTGTGGGTGCCCACAGCAGCACTGGGGGTGATTAACACAGGGAGCGCACACGGAAATGCTGAGAGCCCTCCAGACAACAGAGGCCTATGAGTTGAATTTTGTTTTCTCTTGCGCTGATGAGGAAACGATGACATAAAAATAGTTGGGTAGGGAGTTTCATCACACAAAAGGAAATCAGTGCGAACTAAATTAAAAAGGAGGCTGTCTGAAGCATGGGAGAGGTCCACTGCTGGTGCTGTGGGGAGCCTGACGGCTGGTGTTGATGCATGGAGACTCTGAGTCTTCTCTCTTCCCTGGGATATGTGGAAATGAGGCAGAGTTGGAAACCCTGGCTTCTCTATGCATATGACTGGGAAGAGATGAATTATCCGATCCCCTAGTGGCCCCGAGGTCACCGGGGCAGGAGGCCAAGTGGAGGGAAGAGTGAAACGTGACTCTTTGTCATCTGTTACCCACGCTGCTCGCTGGAACCCATTGGGAGGGCTTGGTCTCTCTCGTAACCCAAAGACGGAGGGAGTGGGTGCTGAAGTGCCCCGGAGGACAGCATCACATGAGTCTCTCTTTCCCTCCCCGTTTGAGCTTAGCTCTTGCTGTGAGCAATCACCTGGCTGTTGATGGTCATCACAAAGAACATGGTTCTTTTATTCCAGGACTCCCAACATTGACAGGCTGGCTGGTGGGGGAGTGAAATTCACACAGCACCTGGCAGCATCGCCGCTGTGCACACCCAGCCGGGCGGCCTTCATGACAGGCCGGTACCCCATCCGCTTAGGTAACCTACCGTGTGTCTGACCGTTGTCCTGCTCTGAGTGGCCTCCCTAGTGGCCCACTGGTTCTTCAAGGTGGATTTTTCTTGCCTTAGGGATGGCATCTCACACCCGGCTGGGAGTTTACATCTTCATGGCTTCTTCTGGAGGACTTCCCACCAGTGAGGTGACATTTTCCAGGCTTCTGAAGGACCAGGGCTACTCAACGGCACTGATAGGTATGGGGCAGGGAGCAGCTGAGCAAGGCTAGAGAGAGACTGGAAGAGGCCTTAAGTAACCTCAGGGTGATGTCGCTGATAAACTTCACACTCCTTTAAATGAGGACAAAATACTCTGGGCTATTTGACTATATAGATGTGTGCTCGTGTGTGTGTGTGTAAGAGAGACAAGTGGAGAGACAGATAGATAATGATAAATAGGCATATAGATGGAAGGGTGGATGTATAGATGAAGGAAAGGATTGATGAAATAGGTGATAGAAATATGATATAAATTGATGATAAGTGATAGAAAATAGATGATAGATAGATAGATAGATAGATAGATAGATAGATAGATAGATGATAGATAGATGATTTGGGAGGGTGGATGGATGGATTGATGGGTGAATGGGTGGGTGGATGGATGGATGGATGGGTGGGTGAATGGGTGGGTGGATGGATGGATGGATGGGTGGGTGAATGGGTGGGTGGATGG